GAAAAACCAAATACAATAATTTTGGAGTGTGACATTATTATGGAAACGTTAGCAAGGAAATTGAAGGTTGCAGAAACTGACATCAGTTCTAATTTTGCAGAGACTATAATCTCCAGATATGAAGATCGTAAAAACGTTATGTTGGTATCATTGAGTCGTTATTTGCACAATCCCGATTTTTTTAAAAATAAAAACCACACATTTTTTTACGCTTCCAAAAAAGATATTCAAATTTATGCTTTAAAATTATTTGATCAACTATTTGCAACAAAAGAAAATAGTCTCCAATCAAAATCAGATGATCACGCTAAAAACAAACAAGAAGAACCATCACAATCGACATCTTTTTTCTCCGAAATTCAAGAAGTTCTAATTCAAAATCAATCAGCAGCTAAAAAACCAAAAAAAGTCAAGACCTTCACCGATCAGTTGAAAGAATATGAAGTAACTGGTGTGAAATCAGAAACAGTTTTAAAATTTGAACTAGCCATCCACAGAATTCAAGCAACTTCCTCGGAAGCAGAAAGAGTTTTCTCCTCGTCTTCCAGATTTGTCACAAAGTTTCGTAGTTCGCTTTCTGATGAAATGATAGGTGTTTTGATCTTTTTAAAATATTATTTAAAAAGATCTTCAGTATAAATACTTTTTTTTTCAATTTTCTTTTTGCATAGCAACGCAGAAGGGCATTTAACTGAAAGTTCACGCCTTCTTCCTAACCGATGCCGGTTAGAAAGCCAATTATTAGATATAACTTGTTCGTTAAAAAATTGTGATAAAAAAAATATTTATGTACTAAGAAATATAAAAATATAAATTTTTTAAAATTTTATTATGAATTATAAATCGAAATATTTAAAATTAAAAAATGAAAATACAAGAACAATGTTTAATTGTTAAATAGAGAGTTTAATTTTTTTATCAAATAGATAGTTTAATTTTTATAACAAAATATTATCGAAACTCCGATTTTTTCTCGACTCCGACGGAGTTTTTTCTCGATTTCTCTCGACTCCGTTTTTTCTCGATTTTGGATCCTTTGTATAAAATTGAAGAGTTTGTTATTCAGTTCCACGAATTTAAGAAGTTAAAAGATTTGAAATCAAAATAATTATAAATCCGCGTTTTTAAAGTTTTATAAAGTTTGTTAAATTGCTAATTAATGTTGTTACAGTACATTTATCAAAACTTTAGTCGCGGAACTTAAGTAAGAACATGAATCTATAGTTATTTCCTGATAACTCAAACCTCCAAGGGACTAAGGAAAATGATTCAGCTTAACAAATGTTCGACTAAAGCGAATTGCTATTAAGTCGAACTTTGGCTAATATAAGATATTAATTTGAGTAAAGCTTTTTCTTTATTCAACCCTAAAGTATATACATTAAATTTACATCATTGTTCTAATGTTTTAATGAAAGAAGTAACGGATTGTATTCACGCAGTCAAAAGATAACATTCAAAAGATTATTTGGCTGCAGTTGTTTATATGGAATGTCTTCTTGTTTTAAAAAATTTTTAATCATGTTAGTATCTTTAATTCTGATACAAAAGGTTCGAGTTATCCGAACAAATTAGCTGAAAGGGAACGATAAAATGGTTCCGCTTAACGATGTTCAAGCGAGGTTCGATTTATGCGAGGTTCGATTTATGCGAGGTTCAACTTATGCGAGGTTCGATTTACCCAGAGAACTTTAATAGTAATTAATTAGAAAGTAAGGCCATGGATTTCATACGCATACGTTATAGTTAGTTAAAAATATCGTACTTTTAAATGTCATATGATAAAAAACGCATTATTGCAAAATGTTGTTTTCTTTATAAATCTAATAGCATTATTTAAAACATCGTTCTTTTAATATTTAATTTATTTTATCTTGAAATGGAGCTGGTATCTTCAATTTGTTGTTGGTCAAATAAAAATATATATATATTTTTTTGTAAAAACTTCGCGAAAACTAAACGTTACGGCTCTTTATTAGTAAAACAAAAAATAAAAATATAAAAAATATAAAACATCTTTATTAGTTACACGAAGAAAGAATATTTAAAATTTTTCTCACTCTTCGAAAAAAACTGTTTTCTATTCCATAGCTTTCATAAATTTTGATGAAAAAAGCTCAAAGTAACATAGCGATTACTTTTATAAACTTTAAATCAATGGGAATTGTTCTCTATCGTTTTGTAACTTAAAAAAATAATTAATATTTTTCACCGCAGATGTTATTATTATTATAGTTGTAGCCGTAAAATATATATACCATATATACATACAGCGAGCAGGGAAAACACCCTACTATAAACAACCAGTTTTATAAATATTCGCTCCGAATTTTATCTTCAACCAGTGATCTAATCTATTTTTAAAAGAAAGTACAGTGGAAAAGTAAAGTTACTTGCTCGGGTAGATCATTCGTGTATTTTGCTGATCTGTTATATAATTGGTTGTGTCTTGGAAGACAGTTTGGAACATATTCACGTCTTATTTTAAGATTGTGATCACGTGACAATGAGTTAATAAATTTTGGTTGATATATATTATTAATTATGTCAAATCGAGGTATTAGTTTAAAAATTTGTATTAGATCGCATTGGAGGCGCCGAAACTCGAGTGATGGTAAATTTAGTCTTTTAAGTCTTTCATAGTATTAAGGATTTCTCAAGTTTAAAGCCCATTTTGTTGCTTTACCTTGAAGAGATTCAACCAAAGCTACGTTTTTAAATACGGTGCACTGCATATTCAAGGTGTGGTCTTGTAAACACATTATATAATTTGAGAGCCATTTTTTCATCAACGATGGTGAATGTCATTTTTAGCATACCAAGAATTTGTAAAGATTTGGAGACAACTGATTGAATATGTGTACTCCACTTGAGGTTAGATGTAAAAATGATTCCTAAACCGCGCTCTTTAATAGAGCTTTTTAGGCTTTCATTTATACCTTGGTTATTTTGCAAAAAGTAGCTATACATAGGATTGGTTTTACCATAATGGATAACATAGCATATTGAAAATTAGTTTGCATTTTGTACCACATTTGTGTCTCCTAAAAAAAAAAAGTTCTCAATTCCTCAAGATATTTTAGGACTTTTAGATTCTGGTGGTGGTGGTGTGTGTGTCCGGGGGGGGGGGGGGGAAAGATGGGTGTATACCGCATACCACTGGACCCGTCACTGATAAAACCAAGCTAACTTTTCGATTGTTTATTTTTTAGCCAAAGTTCTTACTGTACAACGGTGTTTGTTTTATCACTCCACAATTTTTTTTATTTAATTTTTTTTTAAACATCTACAATTTGTAACCGCCTCAAATGTAACAGGAGTTCAAAAATACATGATCAGAGTTAAATGGTAAGATTATGGGGTTAGACGTTAATATCATAAAAAAGTTCAGTTTTACCAACTCTTTTTTTATTAAGAACACAATCCTTAAGCAATGAAATTATTTATTATGAATTTGAAAAACTTTGTTTTTATTACCAAAATTCTTTATCAATAGGTACATCTATAAAAAAATAAATTTCAATAACCTGATTTAAAATTTTCTGGTGTAGTACTTAAAAAGAATAACAAAAAAAAAAAATTTTTTTTTTTTTTTTATATAAAAAAAAAAAAATTATTCGTATAATTAGTCCTTTTTGGGCAAAAAAGGGGGTAATCTTTTGTCAAGAATATCTTTTGAACAAAAAATATCTAAAAGCTCTAAATTGTTACCCGAAATGTTGTAAATGAGTAGCACATTCTGATATTTAACAAAATATCATTTCATAAATTTTTTACCCATAATGCTTAAAGATATTTTTGACTTTTAATTAATTGTAAATAAGGGGCAAATTTCTAAAAATAACTCTTGTAATAATAAAAATAACTCTTGTAATAATTAAATTTTTTTTTTTTAAGTCAGAACGTAAAAAATAATCTAAAGAGCACTTGTACAAAATTTTAAAACAATTAAATTAGTTTTCACTGAGAATTCACAATTTTCGACAGAAAAGTAAAAAAGACAATTTGTAAAAACAGTAAATAAAGAAAAATGTAATATAAAAAGTTAAATATAAAAAGTAATATATAAAAATGATTCAAAACTCTCCTTTTCCATAAATGTCACTCTTCTCTTTATTATTCTTATCATCGAAACCTTTTCTGTTATTTTGTGTATCATAACCAGTTTATTCTGACAGAACGTTTAAACATTGTAAGCGCATCAGCTGATTCCATTGTTCCAGCACTTCCTTTATGGTTAATGTTACAGTTATGTGAAGCATGCAAATATTATAGGCTGGAGATTCTTTTTTTGACTCCTAGAATTCGCACCCTTTACCTTTTTTGGGCAATGTTTGGGTATCGATACATTTACCATTAGAAATAACAGTCACCACACCATCTATATATCCACATTCCTAATTGTATCATCTTTCACGAACATGGGCAAATCAATTTGAATATTGTTTTCTATGCATTCTTGTGATGCTACTAACATTAAACTTTGGGCAGCTTTTTCATAGGCCACTTGCAAATTAGCTGTAATGTTATTGTACAAACTTAAATTCATAGGTGGTGGCATGTTTATAACTCTAAAAAACGTTTTCATACTAGTAAGATCTTTGCTAATTTCTTTAAATGCAACTGTTGCTCTAATGTTATCAGCAAAGGTTTTTCTCGTCTGCTTATAAACAATATTCTCATTTCGATCTTTTATGTTTTTGGAGAAAATACTCTTTTGTCCATTCACATCTAGAGCAACGAATAAAAATCATATGACCAAAACCTTTCTTTGCAGAAATGTCATGCTTAGCTTGTAGTTTTTTTGCATGGACAACATGGTCAAGTCCGAATAAAATGGATAGTTTCTTTTAGTACAGGGTTGTCCAACCTTTTTACAGCCTGGGCCATTATTTTATTTTGATGACAACACGAGGGCCACAAATTAAGAAAAATCATTTTGTTTAAACTTCTAATTTAAAACAACTAATTCCATTTCAATATTGTCAAAAAAAATGTATTTAATGGGAAACTTGACATTGTTTATTTTTACACAATTGATCAATGTCAGCTTTTATAGTGGACGATGAAATCCGAAGTGTATCAGTGAGGTGTTCATCTTTCAACCTATGTCTCTGCTCTGATTTAACATGTTTCATTCTTGAAAAAAATTGTTCACAGATGTATGTGCTTCCAAAAAGGGAAAAGTATTTCATAGCGTGTTTGCACAAATGTGGATAAACTTCAATGTTCATGTATTTTTTATAAAGTTCTAACAATTCAACATCTTTGTAAGCATCTTTCAAATCTTTATTGTTTTGTAGTTCTATTAATTCCATTTGAAATTCATCTCTTACTGTCTCAACTTTAATGGAAAATGGATGTGAAAATAAGTCTAACTCATTCTTTACTTCTTTAAAATCACAAAATCTTGTGTCAAATTCATCAATTACTTTCAAAATAAGATTACAATATTTTTCATAGTCAACTGTGTTGGTATTTCTTTCTGACAATGTTTTAAAATGGATAAGTGATTTTTGACTTAATTGTTGTTTGAGAAGTTTCAATTTCAAAACAAATGTTTCTACATTTTCATATAATTTACTAATAAGTTGATCTTTACCCTGCAACTTGATATTTAATTCCATTAACATCTGTGTAATGTCAACTAAAAATGCCAAATCATTCAGCCAGTCATTATTTTCAAGAAAGCTTGTGTCTTTATCTTTAATTTTTAGAAACTTTATTATTTCAGGTATTAATATCCAAAATCTTTTCAAAGTTGCAGCTCGACTAAGCCATCTAACTTGGCAGAAATAAATTACATCTTCTGCCTCACTTCCACAATCCTCAAGCAATTGTTTGAACTGTCTGTGATTAAGGCCACGACTTCTTATAAAATTAACAGTTTGGATAACAATTTCCATGACTTCTTTCATTTCTAATACTTTTGCACATAACTGTTCCTGATGTATAATACAGTGATATGAAAGAATGTTGTGATTAATGGATTTCTTAAATAATGCCACAAATCCAATATTTTTTCCTTTCATTGAACTTGCTCCATCTGTAGTGACACCAGAGAGTTTTGTTTCTGGCAAATCAAACTTTATCATTGTTTTTTTGACTTCAGAAAGAATATCTTCCCCTTTAGTAGTGCCTTTCATGTGCCTGAAATCCAACAGTTCTTCAATTATTTCAAAATTACTGTTATAAATCTAATAAAAATAGCTAACTGAGCCGTATCACTTCTATCTGTTGATTCATCAAGTGCCAGACTATATGCTTCACACTTACATAGTTTTTCTTTCAATGCTAATTCAATATTCTTTGATAGATCTTCAACCCTTCTTGCAATTGTCTGGTGTGAAAGACTGAGATCTTCAGCAAATTGTATTTTTTCAGGGCATACCTCATTACAAAATTGTTTTATAGAGTTTTTTATTAAATCTCCAGTAGAAAAAGGTTGACCACTTTTTGCAATATTTTCTGCAATTAAAAAACTTATTTTGGTAGCACTGTATAAGCTAATTACTTTACTTTTCATTATTGATTGTTGCCCGATAAAAATTTTCTTTAGCAGTTCTACCTTATCAACACGAAATTGGCCCTTGAATTTATCATAAGTTGCTGCATGTTTTGTAGTATAGTGTCTATTAACATTATACATTTTGCACACGGCAATTTTTTCAAAACAAATGAGACACATAATTGAATTATTTTGCTCCATTACAAAATATTCATTTGTCCAAGATGGGTTAAATATATGACCTCCTCTTCCACTTTCAGTTTCAGCTCTACGTCTTTTATTAGCACTAGCAGAAGCTATATTTAAAAAAAAATCAATATAACTATGGTTCCGCTAACCAAATAGTCAATACCGTTTTAACCGGTTTTATAAAAAAAATAAGGCGGTAGTTTTAACCGTGTTGCAATTTTAAAAAAAATCTGATTTTTAAAATTATATTAAAAAACTGCCCTAATTCTGAGCTACAGAAAAAATAGTTTTAAAAATATAATATTCACTTGATTTTGTTAAAAGTTTTGAATGGTTTTTGATAAGTTAAGAATTGAAAACGCGGGCCATGGCAAAAGACAACGAGGGCCACTTTGTGGCCCGCGGGCCACGCGTTGGACAACCCTGTTTTAGTATAACAGTATTCATAAAAATATATCCAATTTTTTTTTTGCAAAAGCTGATTTGTTTTGAGAAGTGAATATTGTTACTTCATCTCCACCTGTATCTTCGCTTTTATTAAGAGCTTATACTGCTTTTATGTTAAACTTGCGTTTTTTGCTCTAGACTTCTTTTTTCTATCAGATAATCCAATATTAAAGTTGTAATATAAACACAGTGCTTAGAAAAATCCACATAAAAAATCACTAATCATTAATATGCCTTAATAACATGCCGTTCAATTTGGGTTAGTACATGATTCCATAGCGTAAAGTTAGGTCCCATAAAATGTTCCACAATTGTCCCACTTCACGTCCAGGACAGAGTTAACATAATTAATTTTTGCATTTATAATTTAATTTATGAAATAATTAATGTTCTTTAAATGTGGAGCACGTTTTCACCTGTTTATCGTCGAAGATTAAATTTAAATTGGTAAAAAAATTATTATTTGAGATGATAATAATTTAAATTTATTAGAAAAAACAACATTGAGTAGAGGTAATACAAGACATTTTAACTTTTTTTGGACAAAATACTTTAAATTTTGAATATAAAAAGCATAAAACAATTAATTTAACAATACTTTTTGCGTCTTAAATACTTAATTATTCGCCAAAAAATAAACATTACGTCACCTAACTTTACGCTATGGAATCATGTTTCTACCTTCAATTTGAGGTTTGAACTTGTGGATTTTTAGTAAAAACAAAGTGGATAAGAGTATACATAAACATCCACTGTGTTATTGACAAGAAAATGTGTAGTCATCTGGGTTTTCTAATAGACTTACTTGGTTGCTATGAGCGTTGCTAGGGACTAAAAATTTACAACATTAAAATAAAGTGTTATTTTAGGCAATTTTTATTTAAAAAAAAAAAACAAATGTCTTTTTTGAATTCTTTGATGCTTAAAATATCTAGAAAATATGTTTGTGAAAAATCGAAAAAATAAAGATTCTTTATAGATGTACCATCTTAATTTATATCAGTTGTACTATATGCCTTTTACTGTGAACAAAATATTTAATAAAAAGTTATTAAAGCATGTATTTGTCCGATTTGTGCAACTATAAGAAGAGTCTCAAGAAGTCTACAATAAATACGTTACGTAATCTATATTACGTAACTATCTAATTACGTAATCTATATTATAATTATTACGTAAATAACGTTAGTTCTCGAGAACCGTACAAAAAATGATTCAGGTATTTCTACTAATATGGATTTACTCAATATGCTTTAAGTAACTCCAGATTTTGTCATCAACTGTAAAATTGATGACAGATTTTTAAGATACCAAAAGTAAAAACACTTTAAGATAATTGGCAAGTAAAAATAAATGTCTCTTAACACATTTTTCTAAAATATTCTATTGTTTAAAATTATTTATTCTAAATTATCTACATTATTCTATTGTTTAATTATTCTATTGACACATTATTCTATTGTTTTTAGGTCTTCTACTTTTAAGTTCTCTTTAAGTTAAACTTCAAACTTGCAACGACTGCTAACAATTAAAACAATTAAAAAGATATTGAGAACTTAGATTGTCTCAAATGAATTTTTGAAATATAGTAGTTCTGAATAGAATGTTATGTTTTTTATTTGTGATTAATAAGTTTAAAGGAACTGTCCAATATTTTTGAGACCAAATTGTTTTTAGTTTAAACATAAACTGAAGGGTGCTATAGATGTTTTGTTCATAAATATTAAACTCTCTCAGCTCTATCATTATTTTTTAGTCCTAGCATATCTTTTGGCATTTGTTAATCTACATCATGTTTGCTTTTGTTTTTAATAGATAGTATTCTATCACGTGACATTGAAATTCGCAGCCGCCATACTGTATGGCAAATAATGTAAACAATGCAAGCATTTATTAGAACACCGTATTTAATTACAATTATTTAGATAGCATACCTTGTAGTAGATAGATTTTTAAAAGTTATTGTGTAAATTTATGTATAATTTAATCCTCTATCTCACAATATAATTATTTATTTTTAAAAACTCTATTAAATAACTTGTTTTTAAAAGTGTATTATAACAGTGCGAAAAAGTAAACTGTATATAAAGTACTCCAAATAATAGACTTAATTAATTGTGTTTTGTATTTTTAAGATTTTCTGTTAAGTATTATAACACATAAAATTCTTTTTTATTCATTGTTAATTTTTTTTTTCAATTTGCTAACTTACATAGCTCAGACACAGTGAACACATTTTAGTTGTTTAAGCATCTTTAATGAGTTTTTAAATTGTATTAATATTTTAAAATATTAAATAATATGCTGAATTACTCAGAAGCGTACGATGGGCCCGCAGGGCCCGCAGCCGGGAGGGCCTAGACTTATTAAGGACCCAAGCCAAATTTTTTTAAATATATTTAATCACAATTTTGAAAAAATAGGAAAAGTTTGTTTAATCTTGAAAACTTATTTAATTTTAGTATTTGCATATATTAGGAAAAATTTATTTATATTAGTTACCGGGACTCTAAGCATTTGAATATTGAAATTAAAAAACAAAATATATATATATATATATATATATATATATATATATATATATATATATATATATATATATATATATATATATATATAAAAGTAATTTTCAGTTATACTTTAAAAATCACAGATTAAAAAAAAAATCTTAAGGAAATTTTTTTTTTTTTAATGAAATTTATTTTTTCACTATAACTAATAATTACCGCAACTTTCCATGTGCTGTCTTATATTTACTTAAGCTTCAATATATTTACTGATGCTTCAATCAAGTTTTAATTGATTGCTTGTCCCCTTAAATCCCCGTTCAGATTTTATATTTATTATTATTTGTTTATCAAGAATATTATTATTTTTTTTATTTTTATTTTTTTATTCTTATATTTGCCGTACATATAACATTTACAAGTTTCGTAAATTAAAGGTGTAATATTTACAAGTCTTATGAGTCAAAATATATAGTGAAATTTATAATTAAATAGTACGGGCTTGACTATGACCTGACTTCAAGAAGATCTTAATTGTAATGATCTTATCACGAAACCCTAACAATGTGATTTATATATATTATGCTTATGTTAAATACAGGAATTATCTTTTTCCGGATATTTCCGGAGTTCCGGATTTTTTTTTCAATTTTTAGTTTTTCCGGATATCCAAAATATTTTCAATACATGCAAGATGAGGTATATATTTTTGTAATATATTTATTTTTTAAGCTTTTTCACTTATCACTTATAAAAAATTATGAAAATTTACAAAAAAAAATTAGAAACAACTTAACTAAAAGCGAAAATAAAAAGAAAATAAGGGAAAACAAGTTCCGGATTTTTTCCGGATGTTTTATCCAAACCATTTTCCGGATTTTTAAAATATGACTAGGATAATCTATGTAAATATAATTATATATTAAGTACAATTATATATATTTTTATAGTCTTTAAATATATATATTTGTATATTTTTATAGTTTTTAAATTAAATTAAGCTTGTAATAAAAAATAAACTCAAAATATGCTCAGTATTAAAAATTAGACATAATAAGCAGCATAATAACTAAAATTGATAAGAAAAAATCAAGTGTTTTTTGTGTGTGTGTAATAAACAATTTTTGATATATTGTTTGAGAAAGGTAAGAGTCATTTAGATAATACACATAAACGAGTCAGTTCGTATTGCAGTTGATATATATGCAATTTAATTTATAGTCTTAGAAGAATTCAGAGTATCTGTTTAGATTCAGTATCAGATTTTTAACTTTGTTTTCAAGGAATATTGATTATCTGGATTGCAAATTGATTTATTTTTAGTTACTAGTTTGTTCTATAAATAAGGACCCCGATATGAAATTGAGAACTGGGAAAGTTTTGTTTTTTTGAAAAGCGTAAAAAAGTTTCCTTTTTCTCTTGTGTTATATTTATTAACGTTATTTATAAAAAAAGTTATTTAAAAAATGGTTTGGTACTTGACCTAATTTAAATT